AGGTCCTTCCTTAGGCTTTTCATCCTTAGAGCTTTTACTAAAAATATATACAATCCAAATTCAAAACACTACTCCAGAAGTCATGCATTCAATATATTTATTACTTTTCACTCTTTCTGTATACTTCTATACTCTATTTGAATAGCAGCCAATTGTCACAAAATTTGCTGTCCTGATACCAGAACACGACAAGAGAAGAATGTAAATAGCAGACAAACAATGGTAAACCTCGGCACCCAATCCATACTTTATGGAGCACCAAACTAGTCACAAAACAGAAGAACATGCTCATACAGACAGGAAATTCAGTGTGAAATTCACTTCTCTAGCTCCCTTGCTCTTTTTATTCCAAAGACCACCTGCTCCCTATTTATTTATTTATTTATTTATCTATTTATTTATTTATTTATTTATTTAATTACATTTCTATCCCACCCATCTAGACCAAAGGTCTACTTTACCATTTCTGTCTGAAAGGTTCTATTAGAACACTACCTTTGTTATGTTATCCCTCTCTTCTATCCCTACCTAGAGGTTCTTGGTGTTCTCTGGTAGTATCACATCAAGGATAAACAAATTCAGTATTAATCAACACCCACACTTTGGCAGTAGCTAGTGAGATACAATGAGTTACTTGCAACTAATTACTTTTTGTTATTAGAATGTTATACTAAAAGCAATGTAACTGGGTAATGTTTTCTAGTTACCTTCATAGCATAGGCATCCTTCAGTCCCGAGAGACTATGGTAACATGCTCTGAATCGAGGAGTGTCCTCTCCAGAGCATGAAGCCCGGGTAAGGTAATATGGAGGATAGGCTGTTACCCAAGCAGCAGACCCCCCCTCTCCACATTGCTGAAATGGTCCAATGGAAAGGCAAGAGCCAATACAACTGGTTCCAGCAATGTCGCAGGAGTTGGCAGAAGGACACATGCTGCCTTCAGGACTCCAGTCCGGATTTTGCCACGAGGTTAACTCCTGAAGCCTTTTCCAAGAGTGGATATAGCCACAAGGCAGTGGAGGTTTGAAATTGGAGTTTTCCTTCTCCTAGATGGGCTGCCTTCCATGGCTGACGAGCCCCACCTACCTGGCCTGCTCTTTCATACTTTTTTTACCTTCAGAAGTTATTAAAGATTTCTTAAGCTTCTAGCAATAGCTAGATAGCAATTTTTCACATTTCATGGTATCTGTTATGAATCCTGAATAGTCAGGAAAGTGTTTGTTTGTTTTTTTGCATTTGTGTAAATATTTGCAAGGTATAATAACAGAAAGGGCCACGAGAGGGACCAAAAAAGTTTTTCCCTGTATTTTTCTGGCTTGGTGGCAAGGTCAATGCAATACAATGTTCAAAGTTATTAATTGCGCAAGAAGTGACTTACGCAATTTGAGGGATGACAATAATAACCTGGTTGCCAACAATTAGGACTACAATGAGCTCCCTTTAAAAACGAGCCTTCCAAGGTCTGCCAGAACTGACTCTCCTCAGCTTCAGGGTATATTTGATCTAAATCAAATTCATTTAAACCATAATTAATTTTTAATGGATTTTTTAACAAGTTGTGATTTTAATCAATTTTATTTTTAAAAAAATCATTGATTTTTGTCCACCTTGCTTAGCATTCAAAACCAAATTAAAGTTTAGGGAGGTCTGGTGATGCTTTCTTCATATCTTTTACCTATGACACCTTGAGCCCAACTCCTTAATCCTCATCTTTTCTAAAGCTAAACTTAAGTACTGTACATGCAATTGAAATGAACAGTTTGCAATCTTGCTCTCATTTATATTTTCCATCCATGTTTCTGAAGTCCACTGTCAACCTAACATGGCCAAGTACAGACTGTAAGTTTCCTGGGATAGAAACCTATATTTTCTTTATTGCCAAGGACACTGTTCATCCTGGATAAATTTACTACTAAATTAATACCAGCTACAACATTAGGATGTCTAAGGAGTTGCCTCTCTTTCTGTATTAATTAATTAATTAATTAATTAATTAATTAATTAATTAATTAATTAATTAATTAATTAATTAATTAATTAATTAATTAATTAATTAATTAATTAATTAATTAATTGATTAATTGATTGATTGATTGATTGATTGATATCCTGCCCATCTGATACACTCTACCACTCTGGGCGGCTTCCAATATAAAATATATACATTAAGTCAACATCTTTCCTACAACAAACACATGTATTTGGCAGGTTGAGAGACCACGAAAGAGATTACAGAAGGAGCACCAGCTCTGCACCAGTCTCTATCCGCCTAGAGTGGTCCCCACCGACCAGATAGGCGGGGTATAAATTAAATAAATAAATAAATAAATATACATTCTTGCACCCATCCTTCTATACATCTTTCTTCCTGATCCGTATTTAAAATTAATTTGTTCCTAATGATTTATTCTCTTCAAAAGAACAACTTTATGTGCCCATCTTCTGTACCACCATACAGCTGCCTATTATGATTTGTATGTCAAATGATGATGTTCTCACCTCCTCCTATTTTTATATTTGAATTTCATTAGTGGTCTTTGCTCCCTCTTCTAGATTAATTTATTATGCTAAATTAGACTTAATCCATGTCCCCGCTGAACTCATTAGACACCTTCCCAATGAACCACGCTGCTATTTATAATTGTGCTTTGTTTGTGGTACATCAACCATTTTTTAATTCATGTAAAAGCTTCACTCAGATCCGCCAACTCTCAATATTTTTTTAATTAAGATTTTTGCGATAACTGGGCAATTTTCTTAGAGATGTAGCTCTTAGTAGCACATCCAATATAAAATGAATCTCAGTTATCATTTGAATCCATTTCTGGGCTTCACAAAGCTGATAAAAACATGGACGCTTGGAAAACTGAAAACAGAAGGAGGTGGCAGCAGCAATAACAAACAGTGAAGACTCATTATTTCAATACTGTAAAGTCACTTGGAAAAAGGCAGCCTATAAAGGGTACAAAATAAGTAAATAAATAAATAAAGCACATTTTGAATATATTTAAGTTGCATGGCTTTTCATTTCATCCCATGTTTTTGGAAGGTAAACAAACAAAATTCTGATGGCTTGAATCTTAAAATGCCTATATCAGTTTTAGAGACTTCATCACAGGAAGTCTTGTTTTTGTGCACTGTGAACCAAGAATTTCAATGCCAACTTAAAAGTCTGCCTTAGGAAGTCTTTCTGAAACATGCAAATATCATGCCACATTATTATTGCATTTAGGAAGGATATTTTCAAGATGGAAAAACATGTTTTGAGTGGCATCATTTGTTCTTCATTAATGCTCCAGGCAGCTTGTTCTTGACAGTTCCACAATGCCTAATAAGCTCATTCTGTGGAAGAGACTAAACTGGAGTTTTGGCTGAAGCCTGAAGCATGCATTTAGGACTCCAAACTTCCGTCAATTCTCAACAGGCCTAACAATGAGAGGGAATCTGCACAATTACCAAGAGGCAAATGTGACTTTTATGTAGCAACTTAGCTGATTTATTAGAAAGTCAGATGCTATCTGCAACAGTCAGCAAGACTCACACATATAGTTATTTTCAGTAACTACATTTGTATCCTAATCCTTTTTCACTGTTCAGTCTGCCTTGTCTCTGAATTTTCTACACCTTGCACCAAGTCTGGGGGAAGTAGCGGAATGGATTTCAGCTCTGAAACCAGTGGTAAATTATTTCAAATGACTATTTCAGAATCATCTGAGATCACTGGTTCTTAACCTTGGGTTACTCAGGAGTTTTGGACTGCAACTCCCAGAAGCCTTCACCACCAGCTGTCCTGACTGGGGTTTCTGGGAGTTGCAGTTCAAAAGCATCCGAGTAACAAAGGTTAAGAACCACTGATCTGAGATAAGACAAGTTGGCATTGTCATAATACCTCACATGTACAAATCAAGTCTGATTACCTTTCTAATTGATTGGCTGAAATCCTGTTGGTTAACATTGTACGTTGTGACTAGAATAGACCCATTGGATTAATGGAACTTATGGATGAGATGACTCAGTAATTATCCACTGGCCATACCGTAGATGCAAATTACTACACCAACCAACAGGATTTCAGCCATTGTCAGGCCAACATAAGGAAAACCAGCCTGTCCTACTTATTTGATCTGTTAGTAGGCTTTAGAGACTGTAGTTTTTCAATCACACCAACAATTTCAACTTCCAGTAGCTTTCAAACAGCTCAACAGATGAGGTCAGGGAGAACTCTTTTAGGAGACTAATCCCCTAACATAACGAGAAAATGTAATGCAATATCTAACTAAAAGACAAACCCATACTGAGGCCATGGCACTGCTGATTTGGCTCTAAATTACAACTGGCATAAAGCAGTAAGTAATGTATGAAACAGTTCAAATCTCTCTTCCTCATCTATGATCATTCAGTGATCCAGGGCAAGCCATGATTCTCCAAGTCTTTCTTCCCCAGATTCCAATCTGCAGTTGGGGCAATACTGATCTATCTTGTTTGCTGTTGCAAAAATTGACAAGATCACGTTAGCACCCGGAATGCTAACATTTACATTGTCCTTCATTTTACAAGTCCAGAACTGCTTACTCTATATTTTTATTACAGAAAAAAGTCATAAATACTCATATCCTAACAAGATGTTTCCATTACAGTTGCAGGAAGTTATTCAATTGGTTGATCCCCAACCTCTTTGATATCTGCGCAAAGAGCATATAGAAACACAGCATATTACACGAAAACAAAAGACAGCCTCAATGCTGGCAGAAGAAGCATGAGACATATGGCACAGCAGAAGATGTAAGGCAGCTATGCTGGCCTATTATGCAACAAGCAGAGCAGTAATCAGAAGCACAAATGTAAGGTGGTCTTAATACAAATTAACAGTTACTAGCATAACTACATCAGAAATGATTAATTAGAAGCAAAAGCCACCAGAGAAAGAAAAAGCTCAGAACTGCTCATAGGTGACACAGAGATGCACAATTTATTGAATTTTTCGAGGCTTCAGCATTTACCTTTTGTTAAATCAGACCTTGAAGAAGGCCGGCTTGTTTTCTCATGGTCTTCATTGCTACTTTCTGAGGCGTCACTACCAGTTTCATCATCTTCCTCCTCACTGCTTGTATCATCACTGTCATCATTATCACTCTCTCTTCTCTCATAATCACCATCATCTGACTCCTCGTCTTCAGATTCTTGGCCAGGAGAAATCACTTCAGGTAACAATTTTGGCCTTTTAGCATCATCAGCGCTTCCTGCAGTGTTGCCTCCTGTACTGTTCAAATTGTGTAGAGGTCGCTTTTGAGCCAACAGTTTAGAGTTTAGGATGTTGATCTGCCCACTCTCTTCTGATGTCTGTCCTGGAGGGGTGCTACTGTCCTTACCAGAGGAGGAAACCTTTCGGGGGTGGCCCCCATTTTTATTCCCACGTAGCTCCTTCATAAGGCTTTGAGTATTTTGGATCCTTCAGCTCTTTGGCCTCAAGCTGAAAGAGAAGCTTCTCATTAGTTTTTTGACACATCAAAGTTTAACCAACATCTCTGATCATCTACCTCAACTCCTTGGTCTGAATGCCAACTGGGCACACGCAATACAGGATTAGAAATAACTTCACCAAAAGTGATTTTGCAAAGTGAAAGACTTTACCCTGAAAGGGCAGTATGTGGTAATATTGCTATGTTGGTAAAAATTATGGTAGTAGACACATTACAGTACAAAAAAAGAGTACTGTACTGTATCAAGTTGTGCATCCATTAAATCCTATCATCTCCTAAGCATATATATATCTTCCATTGTACACTTATTAGAGTTTGGCATGACTTAAGGCAGCCCGGGAGATGAAATTCATCGGCATGGCACCTCTCTCCCCACCTCATGGCTGGCTGGCCCACTCACAAGCCTTTGTGTACTGTCTGGGTTATCCCCCCCTTTGCCAGTTTGCCTTCCCCACCTCCTCTGACAGCTGACCATTCAGATGAGGAGGCAGGACGGGCATTCTCCCTGTGCAGCCATTGAGTGGTTGACTGCCAAAGAAGCCAGAAAACGGAAGCCTGAGCTTCTTTCTTGGACTGGGCAGCTAGCAAAGGATGACAACCCAGGCAGCACATGGGGGCTTGGAAGGGGGACAGCCAGCCAGGAGTGGGTGGGGAGAGGGAATGTGCAGCACCTGTGGTGCCATGTTGATAAATTTCATCACCCCAGGCCGACTTAAGTCGTGCCCATCTTTATTCATTAAGGGATGCCTTCCTTGGAATGGAACTCTGTGGAATTTCGAGAATAGCAATTGTTTAGTTCTTCCAGGGCCCTATATTTTCTCCTCGAAATTCTACACACACAAAAAGCCAATATGTAATATATTATGTCTGCTCCTACATTTGATACAAGTTGTAGACGACAATATTATGCCTGTTTACTTGGAAATAAAGATAACCATCAAAATCCTATTGGATTTTTATGCTGCTTTAACACAACCCGTGCAACTTTTAAAGGTGAATTGTCTAAAACAGAGGTCCTCAACCCCCAGTCCGTGACCCGGCAGCGGTCCGCGGCCTATCCAGGACTGGGCCGCAGACATAGATCTCCTATCCCCCTGCGAGCACCCCCGTAAGCACTGTTGCGCACAGGCGTGAGCATGTCCCATCCCCTGTGCTCACGCTGTGCACATGCACGTGAGCATGTTCCACCCATGAGTGCGCTTGTGTGATGCATGTGAGGCCCCTCCAGCGCAACGTGTGCATATGCATGCGCGAGCTCCGCTCCCGCTCACACTGTGCACATGCACATGAGCATGTTCCACCCATGACTGCGCTTGTGTGCATGCATGTGAGGCCCCTCCAGTGCAATGTGTGCATATGCATGCGCGAGCTCCGCTCCCCTGTGGATGCACCACACACCCCCAACCGTCCGTGGTTGGGATAGGTTAGGGACCACTGGTCTAAAGTTAAGAAACCATTGCAGGCATTACCTATTGGGTGCCAACTTGTGCAACTCAATACACAATAATGTCAAAATGTTTTTATAAATTCATTTTTGTTCTGCATCATCCATAGCTTTATAGTGCCCAAGTTGAAGAAGACCTGTATAGTTTGAAAACTAGTTTCTGTTTGTGTTTTTCCAGTGGTCTAATGAAAGTATTGTGTACAAGAACCATATATCTTTTTGTCTTTGCTGTTGGGCTATGGAAGATATGCTGAATAGCCTATCAGGCCACCATGTACAACTATGCATGGCCATGAAACATCATCCAAGCAGGACTATGAGTTTAAAACAACTTCTTTCTCCAAACATTAATAATCTGTCTGAACTGGCTCATCTAGGGTGTAGACTAAATGTTCTCTCAACTACAGTGATGATATGCAATTTGCCACATTATGTGTACCTCTATGAGCAAGATGAAAAGGAAACTTGTGTTTCTACCTATGGCAGGGAGGGCAATGTGGAATGAGTGGCAACTCTTTGTCTAACAAGAATGGAAGAGCCATTTTAATCCACATCAGCAAGGGTGGAATCTGAAACCCACACCTCTGACTGAGATTGTAGCCCTCATTTTGCAACTTACTTTTAATAGAAGAGGCTAGCATATAAATTACAGTGGTTGCCATGAATTTTGGAACTTCCATGTTTTTTTCTGCACCACCCATAACTCTGTGGTGCCCAGCCTGACAAAGACTCACAAAGGGTCGAATGCTACCTTATGTTTCTCATTTTTAAGTGCCTTATAAATATTTTAGGTGTCTTATATTTAGGCTACCCAAATATTTTTTGCATGCAATGACAACCATTCCTAACCAACAAAGCCTATGGTAAGGGACCAAGTTGCAGTCCAAAATAACTAGAGAGCAATAACTGTCTGTCCCAATATTATGAACTAAATTCAGCCTAAGAAGTCAGCCAAGATAAGAATCAGTGTAAGAATCAGGGTGGTGCAGGAGCTAGGGTGCTGAATTAGGATGTTTAAGTTCCAGGTTTTATCTTTCACTAGACCATGACATTCATTGGGTGACCCTGGACCAGTCATTAGCTTGACCTACTGCACAGAACTGTTATAAAAATAAAGTGAGGAGGAGGAGAACCATATGTACGCTGCCTTGAGTTCTGTGCATGAAAGGCTTTTGCAATTAATAAGGAATAAATAACCACTAATCAAAATAGGAGTGGGCATATGTACATACAAACTTGCGTTTGCTTTTCAAATGACTGAAATAATGATTCAAACCAGACCAAGGTCACCCCTAGCTCTCCATCATCCATTCCATAAATTATACCATCACAATCTGTATGTCTATGTTATTGCATGCATTTTATTCATAACAGCACTTTTTCCCACATGAAAATGGAGGAGAATGTATCTAATTCATGGGAGACTTACATGCTGTACAGAGACCCCGGGAAGCTGTGTAAAGACACTTATTCTGTCCTACAGAGATGTAAGCCCAACAAAGTAAAAAAAAATGATCCAGTAGTCCAACAACCTATTTACCACTATTCCAATGCCTTAGCAGTTCCAGAATAATTCAAATGTAATAGATTCATGGATATGAATAACTATTTAATGACTATTCTCTATGTAAGTGGTGATCAATCTTGGATCCACATATGTTCTTTGTAGAGCCAGTGGTGAAGGCTTCAGGGAATTTTAGTCCAAGAACATGTGGTGCCCAAAGATTGGGCACTACTGCTCAATGTGAGATCTAAGAGGAGAACTTCACTCTTATCAAGGACATCTAACTTGTCACTCAGAGGCGGGACCAGAAGGAGTCTTGGTCTACTTAAGCAAGGCAATTCTTATATTTCCGGTTGTTAACAGAACATTGCTTGTGGAATGGAAGACTTTCAAGGTTTTAGACACAGTTATGAGTCATATTCAGAGCAATTCTGGCCCACAGAGCTACAAGATGGTGTATTCTATAGACAAAGGATATTGCACACAGCAACAAGGGACCTTCTTTAATTTTTAATTGGAACATGGGTGGGTATAGACTGGAAGGAGCCAAGCACTGCATTTCAGTGGCTCTTCTTCCAAGTTCATTTCATTATAATATTCTAATGAAAATGGCTTGATTTTTGCCTAACATTAGATCTTCAGAATCCATCCACTATAAATAGCAATCCTGGGATACTTTCTCTACTTAAAATGTCACAGATTCTTGAGGTAGAAATTTTAAATTTGATTTCTCCCCATTTTGCAGTTATTAAAGACTCAGAGCTGGTGCCCGTAAATAGATGACAAAGGCTTATGCAGACAGCATTGTTCTAGAAAGCATGTACTGTATTTAGGGATTCCAGTTTTACAAGCTTTCAGATCTTCCACCCACTTGGATGCTTGCTGGCCAGGACCAGCAGACTGCATGGTTGCTTGAGTCAAAAAGGGAAATCGAAATTGTGATATCTGTGTGTCAATTACAGACTGCAAAACTCCAGATGACTTGGCACTCAGTGGTTTCAACATTTCTTAAAATCAAAAATGAAGTGGGGAGAGTGACAGAAGTGCCAGGTCTAGAAAAAGATACTGGTCAGTGTAATGACAGGTATTCCATGGGATGTAAGATTGAAAGCATAAAAGCCAGTGCTCGCTCAAAACACCTAGCTCAGCAATTGTCCATAAACAGCACTGACAGGCATAGCTAACATTCAGGTGATAAAGGAGTAAGTGTTAGTTTGTAAACAGAAACAATAGCCCCCCTCATCATTCTAAAGATTAAGAGAGGTATTAAGACTATGAATTTTCCCTACATGTAAAGGCAAGAAAAATTGATCAAGATATTTTGCTAAGCTAGTAGGTCAACAGGCCTACTCTTTGTTGTTGCTTAGTCGTTAAGTCGTGTCCGACTCTTCGTGACCCCATGGACCAGAGCACGCCAGGCCCTCCTATCTTCCGCTGCCTCCTGGAGTTTGGGCAAATTCATGTTGGCAGCTTCAGTGACACTGTCCAACCATCTCGTCCTCTGTCGTCCCCCCTTCTCCTCTTGCTCTCACTCTTTCCCAACATCAGGGTCTTTTCCAGGGATTCTATGCGAACAGGTATTCCATTTTGATGCAAACTAGAGACCTACTCTAGTTTGCATCAAAAGCTGGTTTTAGGGTCTCGATTCTAAGCCGGAGATCCACAACACAGCAAAGGACCTTTCCTTGAAAGTTTTGGCAGACACCACCCAAGCAAGGGAATTGTTTGCAAAAACTTCTGTTAAAGGCACTGCTATTTTTTTTAAAAAAAAAAAAACCCGACGTACTTTTTGCGTTCGCTGTTACCTTAAGATATACTGCTTTTCGAACCTTGAGGTTCAATTTAGCGATAGTGGCTTTCTTCCGAGAAGGGGTCCCATCCAGCACGGGGCATGCGATGAGCTACCTCCCCCACCACCACCACCACCACGGCCCTGACCTGACAGGCCTCCTTCCTCCACGTGCTACTTTACAGTTGGGGGGTCACCCGAGAGAGGAGGGTGAGAAGAGACCATGAGTTTCCCACCGGAAGAGGCGGCGCCTAGGAAAGCAAGAACGAACTACCAGGGGCCTCCCCCCGGACTCGAGTGCTACCTGCCACTGCTGACGCGCTGCCCGAGCTCATCCGCCTCCGCACGGCCACACTCGGGTCTCCCCCTTCTGGGCCGCCTCCACGCTCTACTCGCCCGGTCGGCCTCGCGGCCAGGCCTCTTTCCCGTGTCCTAGCAACGGGGTTGAGCCCGCGGGAGTCACAAAGGGGCGGGGCGCGTCGCTCAGCCCGCGGGGGCGCAAGGCGCGTGCGCGGACGCCATGTTTCCGAATGGACGGGCGACGGGCGCCTTTCCCGAGGAATCTCTGACCGACCTCAGCGCCCGCCTTCCGCCCGGCTTCCTTTTTGTGCGTCACCAAAAAAAAAAAGACAACGAGCAGTTTATTATTTTCAAAGCCCTTTATTTACAAATGTCCGGGTGAGCCCGCTCTCCCAGCTGGAACGCCGCTACAGCGCCCCCTGAAGGAAGCTCCTCTCCAAGCCGCTGACCCCGCAGTGAACAGCACTTGCCTCCGCCAACGTCAATATTAGGAATAGGTTTTCTCGGCTAGCAATGGCTCCGAGGTGTTGTGCTCTAATCAAGGCCAGCCCTACTGTTAGGTAGCATGAGGAAGTTAGCTACTCATTTTCCGGGACTAGGGAAGCGGCAGGAGGAGGATGTCATAAAAAAGAGCTGTACATCACTGGCCCTGTCTTATGCCCCATAAGTTAGCCTGCTGTGCAAATAAATTGTCCCATAATCAGGGCTGAAGATTTAATTGACAAGCTCACCAGCTGGAATACATGGGAGAGGAAACAGATGCCATCTTGTCCTTTGCCTCAAGCAACAGCTTATGCAAGACCAGTCTAATGTCAATGGCCCTCCATTTCCTACTCTTGGGAGAGGACACAACACTTCTCTCCAATTATTTTTCAACGCATGTAATTTCGCTAATAACATAGAAGGTGGCTTGATGGAAATTGTGCATGGAGATGCACCCATAGTCCCCACTGGGCTCTGGAGTCTCTAGACAAGGGGAGGGTCAGCAGAGCATGCCTTCCTCTGGAAGGAGACCTGTGGGATGGAAGAATAAAGAAATTAAAGAAAGTATAGGGCAGCACCTTGATTAGTGGGGATTTTTGTGATGTTCCCCTTCAGTTTTCTGTAAAGCTAGAGGAAGTCTGATGATTTTATTAAAATTTGGGAGACCCACAGAGTGAGGTCACATGGGATTCATTACAATGCCCCATCATTCTCCTCATAATTGATCAGTGACATGTGATCAGCTTCTGCCTTGTAACAAAGTCCTTTATATGGGATCCATTCATCTTTTATTGTTTGTTTCAAAAATGAGTCCTGAGTAAACTAGTCAACAGTATGTTGCCTTGGCTATACAGTACATATTTGCAAATACCCTATCTAGCATCTGACAGCCCCTAATTTTGGATTGATAATAGCTGCCATTTATAGAAACATCAACACTGTAAACAAGAGACATCTCCAAAAGAAGAGAGAAAAGGAGTCCCATTTTTTAAATCTTAGAATCGTAGAATAAAGTTAGAAGGGACCTATAAGGCTATGGAGTCCAATCCCCTGCTCTTGAATTTTCTCTTTAATGCATCCAGTATTGGATTGCTCACCATCTCCTGAGGAAATTGGTTCCACTGCTATAGCAGTTAAATTTTTCCTGATATTCTGGCTTCCTGTAGCTTGAGCCCATTATTACACGTCCTGCACTCTACAATCACTGAGAACAGATCCTGCCCTTCCTCCATATGACTACCTTTCAAGTATTAAAAGTGCTATCATATCTCCCCTCAGTCTTCTTTTCTCAAGGTTAAACATACCCAGTGCTTTCAGTCTTTCCTCATAGGCTTGGTTTCCAGTCCCTTGATACATAATCTCTGATTACGTGACTTTCCCAAATTTAGCAGAATAACTTCCATCTCAACCCTGAAACCAGACACCTTTTTCATGGGGGGCGGAGTGTACTCTGTCAGCTAAGATTGGAACTTGTGAACATCTCTGGGTATTTGCACTTTTTTTTTAGTCCCCAAGTGGTGTTAGGGTATTTTGTAGCAGTTGAGGCAGTGGTCAACATTTTTTTCTTCAAGCAGGAAAGCCCCACATCCACCTTTATTCTCTGTATAGATTTGTACCTGCAGCAGCTGTTAAAAAGCTTTTCTTTGGCATTGTTAACTATATGAAAGGCTAATTGTTATTTCCAGAGAAGCAGTATTTCTGAGCAGTTTGGGACACTGTAATTGGCCTTATCATATGAATGGAGGTAGGAAACAACTGCTTTTTAACATGCTACAAGCAACCCACACTGAAGGTTTCTGTAAGCTGTTATGTGATTCATAGACACCTGATGTCATTCTGAATCAAACTTGAGTTGAGATCAATGCAAAACAGGTCTCAACAGGTTTAATTATTTTCTTCTAGATAAAGCAACCCAGTTTGGTATCTGCTGACTTTTTAAACGCCTGAACTGGCCCTTAAAATTATCTCTAGCCTTGTTAATTTTAAAAACTACCAAGTTTTATCCTCTTTTTCCCATGTTAAAGTCGCAGGTGTGCTTCATCCAGGATGGAGACACTTCTGAATTTGCAGCTGGATATATTACATTTTCAGAAAAAGCTGAAGACTAAACTTTTCTCCTTTTTTTCCCTCCCAGGACTCTCAGGGGTCACTTGAGAGGAAACCTAAAACTATGACAGCACCAGCAGCCAGAGCCCATCATACCACTCTGAGTACATCGGATCTCAACTGCTTTTGGAAGCTAAGCAGCATCAACCCTGATTAGCTTCTTTGAATCCCTTTATTGGGGAAAAGGAGAACAGAATGAAAAAGAAAATTCTTGAATGAACTATTTGGATGGGAGACCCCAGGGAATATCTAGATTATATAGTATGTGGACAATACTGGGGCTTAGTATAAGGCAGTTTCCCATGTTACTATATCTGAAGACTCATTCCAACTCAAGACATCATGAATTCCAAATTAAGTCAAGTTTTCCCTCAGCCTGCTTTTTGTAACATCCTGATGACATTCAACTTTCTGGAGATCCCAGAAATGTACATACAGTGTCCTTTTAGCTGGCTAAAAAGATGTTACATTAATATGGATTTTTAAATTATTTTTGAAATATGGATACCCCCCCCTTTCCCCCACTTAAAAATGGCTCAATGTGGCTTATACAACATAAAAAGCATAATAACAGTTTGTTGTTATTGTTACATGCCATCAAGTTGCTTCTGACTTGTGGTGACCCTATGAATAAGCAATCTCTCAAATGTCCTTCCTGTCCTCAACAGCTTTTGTAAAGTCAAGGCCATTTCTTTCTTTATGGAGTCAAACCACCTTCTAGCTGGTCTTTGTCTTTTCCTGGTGCCTTCGACTTTTCCTAGCATTATTATCTTTTCCAGAGATCTTCTCAGCAATGTGTCCAAAGTATGACAGTCTCAGGTTTGTCATTTTTTGCCTCAGTTTTGTCATTTTTGAAAGACAAAACACAAAGATCAATGTTAATGGTTAATAAATAAAATGAAGTAATATGATCAAATGCTTGTTTTACAGAGAAAGGTATTCATGTGGGGGTAGCACACTGATTAAAAAAAAGAAGGTGGCCTTACTTCATGAGGTAGGAATTCTACATACAGTATAGGGCATTGCATTACTACTATATCTTGGAAAAGTTGCTTTTGGACTGCATCTCTCAAAATCCCCCTGCTAGCATAGCTATTTTGACTCCAAAAAGTACCTTTTCCAAGATCTAACTCCCAGAGAAACAACAGTCTGTGTCTCTGAAGGCAACAGCATGTGCAAGAAGCGCACAGCAACCATTTTTAAAATAATAGGCAGGTTCATATGGGAACAGAGGATTTTACAAAATGTAGAATTATGTCGAAGAGGAAGCAATACCTTGCTCCAATGTGGTGTGAAATCTTTGATCCCACTGATAATCAGACACATGATGAGAATTAGGTGAGGAAAATAAAGGTTGCAGGGAGAAATTCTGGTCAAGGCAAGAGGTTGCTTCTGCTAAGGGTGCTTGGAGAAGAGAAAGCTGCTGCTCGGTGTTTGATGAGGGGAAATTGCTTGCTGATCCCAGCTCAGAACTGGGTTGATTCACACTCTCATTGTGTAGGAGGTTGTTCAAGATATTGGTGATGATTTCTTCATCCACAGAGATCTCCTCAAGGAAATCTAGAGCACCATCTGTTTCCCAGACTTGTTTAGGTACTGCGTGGGGGACCTCAGCAGGTTGTCCTTGGGCAGTGGACATAAGGATGGTGGATGACGCCTGGGGTGCTTGCTTTGTATACTGAGAGAAAACTTCAGCCAAGGAAAGGATTTGTTCAGCCAGCACATTGATGGCCCACTTGTCAAAGTCAAGTCTTGTTCCCACTTCTGGGACTGTTCCTATAGAAGATTCTTCTTCAAATAATGAAGAAACATCTACAGGAGGGGTGCTGTGCGGGGAAAACAGAGTTTCTGTGGAACAGAGCACACACGGGCTCATGGGGACTGGCCTGTCTCCTCTGTCGGCATGAGGGAGACCAGCACTAAAGAAAGGAAATCTAGCTTCTTGAGAAGATGGCAGGGTGGCTGTATCACCCCTCGTGCTAGGAGAGACAGGCAAGTTGATTGGAAAGGGAGGGTGCAGAGAATCAGGAAATATATTTTCTTCCACAGCATCAGGCAGCTGGGAGGGGTAGTACTTGACTCGTCCATTGCTATTTGTCACTGGTTCTTGAGGGGAAAGGCTGACTTCATCCAGCTTTGTCTGCTGATTTGGATCTCTGTAACAGTATCTTTGTCTGGAAGTAGCTGGAGAAACAGCTTCATTCTGGGAGCGTTGGCTTTGGATATAGATGGCTTCTTCTTCCCTATAGGGAACATAAGAGGTTATGTGTGGAATGGATTACAAACAGAAGAGGCATCAATAGGAGTGTTAACAATGGTGTTAGATACACACATCTAGGTGTTTTTTTTTTAACTGGTATGGCTTTAGGGCAATGGTTCCCAAACTTCTTGGACTGCTGCTCCCAGAAATCCTGGCCAGCACAGCTAGTGGTGAAGGTTTCTGCGAGATTTAGTCCAAGATCATCTGAGGAACCAAGTTTGGGAACTACTGCTCTGCGAGACCCCAAATCAAACTCGTATAAGCTTGAAAGTATATTCACAGAGGATGGAGCTGAAGAATCAAAGCTGATCCACAGACATTTTGTGGCCTAAAATAAAGAACAAGGTGGTACCTGCTTCCCATTTCAACCAATTAGACTGACAATTGAAATTGTCTGCCAATACTCAAGATCGGACAATGTTACTCATTATACTTGAAACAGCAGACTAGATAGGGGAAATGAGGGGCAGTTCAGAGTCCACACAGGTATCTCCGCAAACACCGTTCTACCATTTCTCAGAGTCTGCTGTTTGAGACAATTGGCGACCCCATTTTGGCTAATGATAAGGCAGGCCCCCTTGAGAAAAACTTCCAGAGTAGAACATAATACATCCAAATATAATTTGGCCGCCCAGAGACCTTTGGGTAGTGTGGACATCCGAATAGAATCCAAGATGTGAAACACATGTACACTGGAACCAATTTAAATTACAGACATTAAACTGCAGATGCATCAACAGGATGCATAATGAAGCTTTCCTCTTAGAGGGTCTTTGCTCTAGGTGGTCACCATCATCTTATTTTCAAGGAATGTTCTTCCATGACAGATGATGGCAATTACTATTGTCTCTCTGATCCGGACCTGTTATTTAAATCATAGCCCCGAGATGACAAGTATCTTTACATTCCTCAATACTGTATAGCTATGGTTTCTCTCCCTCATTCTTCCCACTACCAAACTTTAATATATCTTCTGGTGCCCCCACTGGGCCACACCTCCTAGAAATTTGTTTACTACAGAAACAAAATTGAACTTTTGGGAAGAACTGAAATATATGAAATACTTATTTCATATTGAACTTAAACTTTTTTTTACTGCTCTATAAACTTCATTCTTGTTTTTGATAGTTATAAACCTCCAGCGATGTGGATGCCCCATTGCTGGAGGTTTTCAAGGAAAGATTGGACAGCCATCTGTCCGGGATGGTACAAGGTCCGGGATGGTATGAGGTCTCCTGCCTTGGGCAGGAAGTTGGACTAGAAGACCTCCAACATCCCTTCAAACCCTTCTATGATTCTATGAATAGCACAACTCTGCTCAATTCTAATAGTTCACATGCTACACTGAACAAACAGCTGAAAACTGCTACTGCTGAACCTTATTCTACCTAATTAAACCTGTCTTGGTCCTTAACATCTGAGAACATTGGACAAAAGGAAAGCAAAAACCATACACTTGTTTAAAAACACACACACATACATCTTATTTAGGCATAAAGGCTGAAATCCTGTTGCTTGAAAGTTGCAATAAAAGTAGTTCCATTGAATCAGTGGAGATTTGGTAAGTCAACTCCTCCATAAATTCCATTAATTGAACAGGCTTACTGTAGTTATAATTTACTCTGCTAATCAACAGGATTTCAGCCATTGTTTTGGACAGAAACACATTAGAGGATTAAGCTAACAGCTTATTTGGATATGGTTTGACTTAATGCTGAAAATATTTAATTTTTCAGTATTGTATGGTCATCGTACACATCATATGGCTCATTAATACAGTAGTGGAAAAATGAGTCACAAATAATAAGCATCTCCTGGAAAATACTAATATCACAGCCAAGAGTGGTCCATCCTCTAATTTAGTAGACTGTCTTACATATAGAGCCTCATACTGGTGTTTTCATTGAGTATGCTCTGTTGTAAAAGGCTTTTCATTGTTTCCAAAAGAGAAAATATTTTTATCTAGGTTTTTGTTTGCTTCCTTCTCCAAAGTTCCCAGCTTTTCCACTGGAAAAAACCATGTATGAAAATGTTTCCTCAGGAAAAGAATTATCCACCCCGCCCCATAGTGGGGGCTTTATCTTTCTACTGCTGATACATCACAGTTTCTAGTGATGTATCAGCAACAGAAAGTAACACCAAGAATCATCAATACTTGTAGAGACTGCATTATTGATCCGTACGTGTTTGTTGTACTTTAATTTTCTGCATTCTGAGAATAGATAAAAGAAGCACAGGGGGCACACAGGAGGGCAGTGACTGAGTGGAGATGCCATTCAGATGTGAATAAATAAATGTGAGTGAAAGAGCCACAACAATTTCTTGCTAACCACCACCTACTGAAGAAGCACTCCTAGAATTCATCTGTGCCTTTACCTGAGGAGGTGGTTGGTGGAAACGATGAACTCTTGTCCATTTCCACTTTCTTTCAGTGCATTGACTTGCACCCAAGCCCAGGTCAGGTCTTTGCAGAGAAGACGGACTACTATATGCCCATTATGTCTCCCAGTACTATAGGCTGAAATTACAGCAAAAAGAAGACCACCTTAGTCCCAGTGAAACAGAGAGCTTGAGAACAAGATGATTGGAACGTGTCATAGTCACAAGGGTCTCAAAGGCCTACACCAAGTGAATTCTGAATCCCAAAGGTCAGCTGAAATAAATAAGCTTTATCCCAAAGATCCTCCACATTGACATTTTCTAAGGACTCAAAGCTTGTTATGCACTTTATTTCAGTAAAGCCTCCAACAACCCTATAGAGTAGACCAAATAGTAATAATTCCCACAATTGTGGATGTACTGAAGCCAAGAGACAATGATCTACCTAATATCATCCAGAGAGTTTGAAGCAGGCTTAATTTTTTGCCAGGGTTGTCTAACTGTCGAGTTTTCAACCACTGTTACACCACATCCAAAAGTTACTAGTGTAAAAACCAAGTTTTATTGCATTCATTTGAATTTACTATCACATATGCAAATTCAATCAGAGTTGCTGTCATGTTCTGGACAGCAAGCAGTCTTATCCACTACATTATACCTATTAAGAGAACGGCAAATCCAGGATGCAATACTATAACCAGAATGGTGAAAGTCTGGCTCTCCTGATGTTACTGGCATGCAGCTGCCATAGTCCTTCTTTATTGGCTATGTTGGCTAATAGAATACTAGTCCATCAAGATCTGGAGGGCCTCACATTTCCCAACCCTACTCCAAAGCCCGACTAGGGCTTCCATGCCTCCATGTGCCACTGACCAATCTGGCAAGAGCAAAAAATAAAATAAAAGTAAATTAATTTTTTTAAAAAAGCAAAGCAAAGCGTGCTGCTTATATACCACCCCATAGCTCTTCAAGTTAATTATGCAGGCTACACATTGCCCCCCAGCGAGCTGGGTACTCATTTTGCCAACCTCAGAAGGATAGAAGGCTGAGTCAACCTTGAGCCGGCTACCTGGGATTGAACCCCGGGTTGTGAGCACAGTTTTGGCTGCAGTACAGCGGTTTAACCACTGCGCCACGAGGTGGGATGACAGGTCTCCTCACTCAGCTGCTAAGTGGTCAGCAGTGCAGGGAGGCATGGAAGGACTGGCCAGGCTACTTCCATGATTATGGTCAGCAGTGCAGGCTACTTCCATGATTGGTGCAGTGTGAACAATGATGGGTGTGCATGCTGCACTGCAAGCGGTAAGTAGGCAGCCCAGTTCCGCAGTGTGAACAATGATGGGTGTGCGTGCTGCACTGCAAGCGGTAAGTAGGCAGCCCGGTTCTGGGGGGAGGGTCCAATCAGGCTGGCCACCTGTGATGGTGATATACATATTTCTCTCCCCTGGGAGATAAATATGAATATCCCATCTCTAGTTGTGTGGTTGGGCGATATACATATTTCTCTCTCCTGGGAGATAAATATGAATATCTCATCTCTAGTTGTGTGGTTCCTGCACCAATTATTATTTATGAAAGAAAGAATCTGGACTGGGCAGCTGGGATAGGCTCTTTCCAATGGATTACAACTTCAGATCACCAGATGTGTAACCTTGTGAATGGTGGCCAGCATGGTCAATTACCAAAGATGATATTTGTGATCCAACAATATCTGGGAACCCACCGTTGGGAACAAATTATCTCTAGACCCATCGCTGGGCTTCCTGTTGCTATAGCATAAACTGCATAAGCATCTCTTCACCTCTAGATCTAATCGAGCTCAACCTCTATGAATAGTTTGTCCCCAGCACAATACTCACTCAGGGCCTTGTGCATCTCTGCAGCTATTCCAGTATCTTCAGGATGGAGAAGACTGTACCAAGATTGGCCAATTAGTTCTTCTCTCTGGTACCCAAGATGGTAAATAACACTGAGGGGAAGGGGGAAAATTGAAGAGTTTAATCAACATTGTCCTCAATACAAACATTTGTGATCACTATGTTAGCAGAGTACAGCTGGCTAGTAAAGTTAGTTTATGGCCATGTAATGGGAGTACAGTAGTTACTCAGGTTTCTCATGGTAATGTAAATGGGGAAACAATTTTTATTGTTCCAAGAAATCCACTTAGGTTAAAACAGGATGAAATCTCGACCTGAGTGCAGAAGTCCCAAGGACTGGCTTCCATTTGTGTGCAACTGACGGCTAACAGGGCAGCACCTATTCTTTGTAACCAAAGGAGAATACATTTTTTCAATGCAGAAGAGGGAAGTGATCTAAAAAGGAAGTGACTTAAGGGGAATAATCTATAAGCCATTACTTACACAAAAGCAAGAGAGGCCAGGATGCCTAATCCAACCTGGCTACACATCTATTGCACCACATAGTTTACTTTTACAACTATGCTGCCCTTTTTTAAGGCTTAGATGTCTTAATCATGGAGAGGGGAAATTCAGCTGGAATTTATACAGAAAATAAACGCTACTCATAATAGGGTTATCACCATATCACCCTGAACACACATAATCTCATTTGATGTTAGAAGATTACCAAGGTCAAGCATGAATAGTAGAGCAGGACCCCCATGTCTGTGGGTGATTGGTTCCAAGCCCCCCCATGGATGCTGAAAACCATGGATAATAGCAAAGACTAGACAAAGTATGGTATAAGAGAAAAAATCCAGAAAAAAGTACAGTATTTTCACATATATTACTAGAACTGCCCATTAGAGGGAGCCAGAGACCATGCTAGGTATTCTTCTTGTTCATCATGTAGTGACCAGTTCTGGTGAATATATAATGAAAATACAAAGTTATACAGTGGTGCCTCGCTTAACGAGCGCACCATATAACGACGAAATCGCATAGCGATCCGTTTTTTTGGATCGCTAATGCGATCGCTCAACATCGTTTAGATAGGGCGAAAATCGCTTTACGAAGATCGGTAAGCAAAATGAAACCCGACGATCAGCTGTTCGGCAGACAAAATGGCCGCCGGAAGCTCCGTAATGGCCGCGCACAGCGTTTTTGCGCCCTCCCCTCGCTTAACGAGGGCGCGAAAATGGCTGCCGGCCATAGGAACTAGACAAGTATAAGAGAAAAAAATCCAGAAAAATGTATTTTCACATATATTACTAGAACTGCCCACTAGAGGGAGCCAGAGACCATGCTAGGTATTCTTCTTGTTCATCATGCAGTGACCCGTTCTGGTGAATATATAATGAAAATATAAAGTTATATATATTTTTTCTTTTAATATTTTAAATATTTTCAGACTATGAATAAGTGAAAGCGCAGATAAGATACTGTAATTGGATAAGAAATAATCACAAATATTCAAGTAAGTCTAGAATGGAAACCTTCCTGAGACTTTGGGGAAACCTGTTACTGGTAAGGGTTGCTGGTATTAGGCTTGATGGCTCAATAGTGTGACCCATTTTAAATCAGCTTCTAGGGTTGCCAACTTTTTTCTGGTCTTCATTTCTATGCCTATAATAGGAGTGCAATCTTCTGACAGTGCCATACGGTGATTCTGGCCTCTATGATATGAAAGCCGTCACCTACTAATAACCACAAATATACTAAGTATACTAAGCATTTTTCCCCAAGGTAGTTTGGCAATTCTATTCACAATGCCCCCCCTGCAAATAGCAGCTTGTGCTTACTTTTCGGTTATCTCTGCAATCTTCATATCCAGTGTGTGTTTGCTCTGGAAGATGGGGTTCTGGGAAGTACTATCCATGTCTTCCAGCACAGATGCGACAGGAGTGCAGAAGGCAACGAATGTCAAAGCCGGAGAGGAAGGAGTCAACTGTGTGTCACATGTGACAAATCTGCCTCGCATGGCCATAGCACGGTTCTTCCCTAATCTTGTCCGAAAGACTCTTGAGGTGCGCATTTCAGCAGCAAATTCTATTTCTGCAACAGTTTTTTTAAAAGTTAGGATAATAGAAGAATCTCAAAACTACACTGAAGTTTGCTGTGGAGACAGAAATCATGTATTAACTATGGGGCTCATCTGGATTTCCCTTTTGCAAAACCTGTTCCAAATATGGGTGAAACATCTGTAGTCCTCCAGATGTTATTAGACTGTGACCCCCCAGTATTCCTGACCATGGACTATGCTGGCTACGACTGATGAGAGATACAGTCCACCAGCATCTGGAGATCTGCACTTTCTCTATCCCACTTCACCCACCCTAACACATCACTTAATTTCTATCTCAACCAAGTTCAAATTTAATTTCTTTGAGTAGCCTTGGCAGATCATTTCAGAAAAAGTCACAAATTACATGGTTGTTTTTTTAGATGCAGATATACATTTCTTTAGAATTTAGATTTTTTGGGGAACTGTGAGTCCCAGAATACTGAGGTCCAAGGTGTCTATTGAGTAGGGAGGAGAAAGGGGCACTTCTCTCCCCATCCCAGGAATCTTAAACTCATCTGTCATTTTAGTGAACACAAACACATACACCGGAAGAAATCCTGTTCAATTACATTCTGAAGCTTATGATGTCATTTCAGTTAGGGCAATTTTCTAGAAATTAAATATTTCCTCTTTGGTTGTTGTAGGTTTTTCGGGCTGTCTGGCCGTTTTCTTCAAGTTTTTCTTCCTAACGTTTCGCCAGTCTCTTGGCCGGTATCTTCAGAGGACATATTTCCTCTTTCCTTCTCCTTCATTGTCAGGAACCCATGGAGTCATGGGATCGGAGGGGGAGGTCTTTAATTATCGAATCACCACTACCAGGACAGTGTTACAGTGTCATCCCTGGCACTATTGATTCTACACTGTTGCCCTGTGCGTCTTATTCCCACTTCTGTTGAACTTAAGGATGCCAACAAATGGCAACCTCTATTTTGAAATTTTGTAGGAAATATATATTGAAACTATTGACCTAGATTTACACAGAGAACACTTTCAGAAAGGTATGCCTGCTTAAATCCTTTGTGACTTTGCTATACGTTAACATGACTTTCTTTTCAAAAGACAAAAACAAGAAATTGCCTGAAACAAAGGTTTGATGCCTACTGAGCCAGGATTTTGTTTGTCTTTAAGATGTGGAAAATGCTGCAAGTTATTTACAATTTCTTTTCAAGGCTTTACAATTCATACTGTGTGTTTGTGTGTGTGTGAGAGAGAGAATATGATCGTATGAAGCTGCCTATTGTGTAAAAAATTCAAGAAGTTTCTTCCAGACCCTATCTGCACATTATGCCTCCATTCTCCAGGGGATACTGGAATATCAGTAGCTTCTTGATACCCAATTCTTCTTCCTCAATGGAGCAAACATGGTGGGGACAGGAGGGGGGAAATGCCACTAAGGAATGAGATTATGAGTGGGAAAATAACTAGAGAGAAATCCCAGAGTGTAGGACATGCAACAATGGGCTCAAGTTATAAGAAACCAGATTTCGGCTGAATATCAGGAAAAACTTCCCAACTGTTAGAGCAGTACAGCAATGGAATTAATGACCTTGAAAGGCGTTGAGTGTTCCAATACTGGTGGCATTCAAGAGAAACTTAGGCAACCACCCGGCAAATATCCTTTGATTTGTATTCCTGCATTGAGCAGGGGGTTGGACTTGATAGCCTTATAGGGTTCTTCCAACTTCATGATTCTATATTTCTATGATTCTATTATTCTCTCTTCTCCATTTTCCATTCTCCAAAGACAGACATGTGGAGATGTGTCTCCACATTATATACATCAGAACAATGCCTTTGATCAAGAAGCATCCAGATGATTTCCCCCCCCTTTTTTTTTCCTTTTCTAAGGAAACGGGTGAGTCTGAGCAGAGTATGCCATGCTTTTCACTAAACTAGAAAGGGAATAAGCCCATTCCATATCCCTTCAGACAAAAAAAAACCTGTAGATAAAACTGATTTGTTAGTTAATTTGGTTTTGCTTTTAAACTCATTGTCTAAGACTTGGACTTGTCAATAGCAGAAGTTGCTTAATTAAACATGTAGTTCCATGGAAATATCAGCTGTTCTCTGGTTGGAAAGATCTTCAACCAATCCTTTGTGGTCCTTACCTGTTCCCACGTGCTTCTTGGCAAAGTGAAGCTTCTCCTCCATTACTTTGCATGCTGAGCTATTCAAGAGGTCAAAGATGGAGTCCCCATGAGCTAGGAGTTCTACCTGGTATAAGAATAAGAGGGAACATCTTAATTGTTGAGACTGACAATTGGTAACTTGTTTAAAAGCGAGGCCATGATAGTAATTAGTGTATTGGCACCCAATGGTCCAAGTGGGATGGGGAACGCACCTCAATATTTGGAGGCTAGGTCCATCCCTGCTTGAATCATATGGTGCCCCCAAATATATGGCCATCTCATTTTGCACATGTAAGAATGGATGCAAGAAACTTAGTAAAGGAAACATGGGACCTGCACTATCTTAACAAAAGCTTTGGGGTGTAAGCTAACTGCCCTATCTGATCTCCTTAAGCATCATCATATTTAATGCTATTAGTCTTTGGAAGCTGTCCATTGCAAACATTTTCTGGATTGAGTCTTAAAGCAGATGTATGGCATGCAAAAGATCCCAGCCTCAAACCAACTGCATCTTTGGTGAAAATATTTAGAAACAGGTTTCAGACGAATTTCATATTAAACCACGGAGAGATTGGGGGTGTGATCAGATAGTGATAAAGGATTGTGTCTGATCACATTGGGAGGGGTCATTTCACTGGGTGTAATCACCCTTAAAACAGCCCTTCTGTGTGTATAGAAATTGCTCCAGCTTCAAAAAAAAGGAGCCCTGCTATCAGCTTGGAGCAGGGTTGGGCCGGCTGGTGATCTCCTAGACATTTGTTGATTGATGGGAAATAGCTTGCACTGGGCTGTGTCACAAGAGATCCAAAATGCAAGCTATTTCCACATCTGATTGCACCTTGAGCTTGGTAGGGTAGATGGAACTGCGTTTGATGAATGCTGATCTGACAGCCGAACAAGATAGCTTTATGATGCTTCTGTCACATCTAATCTCTATCACCTTGCAGATAACTAGAGAAACTTAGATGCCTCACTCCTGTAATATCCTTGTCTTACCACAGAATAACCGAGGAAGTGGGACACGTTCTCAGAGATGTAGGCTAGTTTGCCATGAGCGGTGAAAGCCAAGATGAACCCTGGTAGGGAAAACAGCAGTTCTTGATCTCTCCATGCAAGAGTAGCAGCCAGAGGAGGCGGTGGTTGCATGAGGCCGTGTGAGCCTGAGAAAATAAAAGGACAGTAAATTGCTTTCATTTATGTATTATTTGCTTGCCATATATTGCCAATCAGCCCTGCCTACATATTGTCTAGGCTATAAATAAAAATCAAATCAAATCAAATCAAATCAATCAATCAATCAATATGCTCAGAAATTGGAGGTAACAAGTGGCATAGTTATGTGCATGTAGTTGCTTCTTGAGTTAACAACTTAACATTAACTAAGTTACATTTCAAAAACACAGCAAGCACATTAAGTTTCTTTCCCAGTATACAAAAAAAAAAACGCTTTCTTGTTTCCAAAAGTTATCGTTTCTTTCCCAGTATACCAAAAAACGCTTTCTTGTTTCCAAAAGTTATTTCTAAAAGGCATCTCAAAGTATTTTTAAATACATGTTGAGAACAATTTTTGCAAGTTTTATGCCATTCTATAATTAATAAAAATAATTGTGTGCCGTCAAGTGGATTCCCACTTATGGTGACCTTTTCCAGGGTTTAGTAGGTAGAGAATAAACAGAAGTGGTTTACCATTTCTTTCCTCTGGGGGTACCCTGGAATTATGCAGTTTCCCCAAGGTCACACACACTTCCAGGAGGCACAGTGGGGAATTGAACTCCCAGCCATTGGCTCTGCAGTCAGAGACCTAACTCACTGAACTATCCATCCAGCAGGCCATTCTCTAATCAGCCCTAAATGGAAAGGATGTATTCTTTTGTTTATTTTTTTTAAATTTCTGTAAATATTTCAAGGTGCCATGTCCGAATATTTCTCATATTTCTGGCTACTAGCAGAACAACACAGTGCATTAATAATGTGTAACCAAATGACTCTCTTTCACGAATGCAGCAGTTATGATGATAACCCGGCTACTGCAGAGCCATGAATCATGCAGCACAACACTACAAGGGCTGCCTCTGTGCTGAGACAGGAAAACAGAATCCTGACCTCACAATCTGAGAGCACCCTTGGCATTCACACAGAAACACCATTACTCTAGGTACACAACTCCACTAGCAACAACATATAGGAGGGCCAATATCAAATATTGCAAGTGGCCTGAGCCAACCCTGCATGTGAGCTACTGGAGACCTGGGAGTTGTTTTGCCCAGTGGTGAAGCCTGGCTCCAGTGCAATGTAGCTCTACTGTGATGTTACATTGGTTCCAACAATTCATCTTGCTTTGCATAACTCTGTTTGCCAGCTCCTTTACAAATGGCAACTTCATTCGCCAAATGGCAATTTGGTCTTGAGCACAATCTACAATAATCACCAAAATACAAATCTAAATGGGAAAGCAAAACTGTTATCAGTGTGATCAAATGCCCACTGATTCATCAATGAATCTACTCTAGTTGTGACTTGCTATGCTGCGTAAGCAAGATTTCAGCCAACATGCCATTGCACTACTCTAGTTGTGACTTGCTATGCTACGTAAGCAGCAAGATTTCAGCCAACATGCCATTGCACACAGCAAAATAATTATCACTGCCAGACAGGGAAAGCTGTCTCCTTTGATCTTGCAGTTTTGCCTTGAATCAGGGGTAGGATTTACTGGCACTTGCGTTCAAACTGTAGTTTTAGGAGCAAAACTGTGTGTCTCCTATGAAAATCTAGATGTCCTTCCAAAATACAGCTTGTGTGTGTGTGTGTGCTCCTTCAGTCTCGAGAGACTATGGTAAGGTGCTCTGAATAGAGGTCTTGGAACAGCATCTAGTGTGGCTGAGAAGGCCAATTGAAGAGTGACAATCCCTTCCACACTGAAGACAAATACAATCCGTCCCCTGTTCAGTTCCCTAATTTGGCTGGTTTAAGGAATGCCTCTTTGCCTCGGTCTGCTGGACAAGGATCTCCCTTCATAATAGGAGAGGTCTTGATGCACCACCTGCCTCCAGGCTAAATGCTCAGATATCAAGGTTTCCCATCTGTTGAGGTATGTTCCTAAGGCCTTCAGATCCCGCTTGCAGATATCCTTGTATCACAGCTGTGGTCTCCCTCTGGGACTAGGAAGTAATAACCACAGGGATTCTGGGTGGGGATTCTGAGAGATAAAGTCCAAAACATCAGAGAACACCAAAGCTGCTATACAGTATACATTTATAGAGAAGTAAATCCCACTATATTCAATTGAGCTTATTTCCTGGTCTTTGTTCATCACAAAAGCTCCACAGCCCAATTAATAAATGTACAGTATCTGAAAATTTTGGCCCATCAAGAGCATTTCAGAGCAGCTAACATCAAATCTGGTGGAGCTGATGTTGAGTTTAGTAGGTTTGGCTGGGAGGAATCTTTCTGGTCTGAGGTGAATTAATTTATCCAGCACTAACCAGTCGTTACTCCGTGAGTTCAAAGAGAGCCCCACATCTCTACTTTGTGCCTTTTCCCCTCTCAGTCGTCTCTTGGAAGCAGTCAGGGCGTCTGTCGAAGTTCGTTGTTGAAAGCAGTCCTGTATGTCAGTTTGCTGTTCGATCTGCTCAGTTGTAAGTAAATAATGAAACCTTTTATTCATTCCCTTATTAATGTTTCTGAGTGATTTATTGAGACTATAAATGCCAATTAATGAGGAGAAAAAAGACTTGACGAGGTAACTTTAATCTCTTTTGCTCTGTGAATCCCTGCACTTCTGCTGCACAACTAGAGAAATTTAACCAGAAATTGAAAACTCTACAACAAATCTTCCATAGTACATGCTGAGGAGCTTAGAGTACACTGAGACTGTGAGTTGGTGCCAATGTCCAATTTTCTTTGGTTTTGCCATCTCCCATCCACAGCCTCTTAAGATGCTTCCAGATAACCCAATAGTTTATGTGATCAGAGGCCAGATGTCCCCGGGGTTCCATATATTTTAAGAAGTGGAGAGTTCTTTTTTTCCCCCATTATAGTCCTGCCACTCTTTGTTGCTCTTCAAGATTCACAAATGTCCTGGAAAACCTTTTTCTTGATTTTAATCTGGGAGAGGCTGGGTGGTTGCCAAAAAGTAGATGTGCATTTGATGTAGATACTTTTAGCTTTTCTCTATTAGCTGCTGCCTCCCTCTCTCTCTGCATGTTGCTGGGTGCAGTACCTGCTTGGCTTCAGGCATCCTGTAATGCCTTTACAGCTTCCATTGGATGTTACATCTATCTGTTTTGTATGGTTTGAATTATACTACAATTATACTATACTGGAATATTTGCCTGCAGAGTAGCATAAGACCAAGGCTGTAGTTCTTAGTACTTGCAGTTGTGTGCCTCAACTGGTTTCAGATAACTTTCAAAGAAGTAAGAGTATATATATTGCTGCAACTGAAATTAACCAATTTATAAGGGAAAATTCAGCTAGAATCAGATTATCTCAGGCTGTTTCCAAGCCAGCATATTCTTTTTCGTCGCTTTCAATAATTAACATTTTTACAAGGAGTTCTTCTCCCCACAGGGCTCCTTGCATGAAGTTGATTTAGGTCTTAACTGTTCTCTGCCAACTGAGCTCCACGTTGTTACAGACTGGAAGAGAACAGCATCTTTCAGGCAATCTGGTGTGCAGAATAGAACATGCTTATCTTCAAACATAATTATATCAAGATCATCGCTTCCTTCACTTTTATCATGTGGTCTAATGGTTTAGCTATCAATAAATAAAGAAGAAGAAGAAAATAAAATGAAATGAAACTATAAGGGCACAACAACACCTGCACTGATCCTCAGGGGGAAATTTTAGACATGTAAAGAGAAGATGGAAAACTGTATTCAGGTAAGAGACACCTTTGGGGAGGTGAGACTGTGATGGATAATACATAAGGACTGATCCAACCATCTGTTGCACACAGTATGGTTGCTTTTTACTGCCTCCTTTCAACTACATAAAAGGTGTAGTTAGATATAGTGAGGAAGATACACAACTAGAATTTCATGACATTTTCCTTAATAACTGCCCCTGATAGGGTATGACAGAGATCCAATCGATACGACAGGGTTTGTGGGAAAATGTATAAACATTTTTTCTATGCTCTTTTTATAAGCAAAAGGAACACAACAACCTATAACTGCTTTAAAACTTTGAGGAGGACACGGCTGGAATGTAAATGTACTGTACATGAAAATGCACAGTCCAACAAGATACATGCATTTGTGAATCGCAGCTATGACCGGACTGAAAAAACCAGATGCAGTGGTAATAGCAGCACAAATAATTCTCTCTGGAATGGTGAACATTGATTTGAGGAGCATACATGAAGTTCTTTGAGCATTCCAAAGTACTATATAAAGTCATAGAACTGTGGTTTGAATGCAAAGGCCAGCCATCCCGTGAGGCAGGGTGAGACCCTTGTCGAGGAGCAGATTAGGATGATGGTGGTGGATTGTGTACCCCTCCATCTTGTATCCAAAGAGCCACTCTTTCCCATCAGGTCCTTGACTAAATGGCTGTGTTTGTCGAGGCAGCTGCTGCTATTTGCCCACCACAGACTCCTCAAGAGATTGAGGTGTGGGGTGCCCACTCTGGAAACCTTAAACTTGGTGCTCTTCAGAGCAACTCAAAGATCTAACATCTGTCCAAGGGGTTTCTCCTTAGAGCAAGACATTGTGGGTAAGGCAACCGTGGAGACCATCTGTGCCACCGTTGCATGGCGGCGCTGGCCATCTCCTTGGAAAATTACCCCACAATGCCTCATTATGAGGACCCCTCAAAGCAAAAGGCATGATAGTGCCTCCATGGCAGCAGTATCAAAACAAAAACAAGAAGTGAAGGCCTGCAAGGCTCTGCCCTGGCCCTGCTGAAGACACAACACGGTGCAACTTTGCTGAAGCTACATGCTGGTTTTGCCAGCATATAGATGGAACACCAACTGAGATTCTAATGCATGCTTCTTGGAGCTCAAAGGAAGAAAGCCAGGACAGAAATGGAATTGATACTTTATTTAGTTATTTTCTGGCTAGTCACGGAGCCGACAAACGGCTTACTTTCATCAGGTGAGAGCAGTCTGGCTCTGCCCATTGACTTTATGGAGGCTCCCTGGCTGGGAGGCACAGAAAGCTGGAAGGTGTCACAGCCAGTCATGCAGGGAAGACAGAATCAAAGGCTTATCACATTTGCAGATGACACAAACCTGGGAGGGATCACTAACTCAATGGAAGACAGAATCAAGATTCAACATGACAGGCTTGCACGCTGGGCTGAAATTGACAAGATGAAATTCATGAGAGATAAAGATTAAGTCTTGCATTTGGGTCCCAAATAAAAATAAAAAGCATAAGGAGGGGATGAGAGAAACCTGGATTGGCAGGAGTACATGTGAAAAGGATCTAGCTGATTACAAGCTGAACATGAGCCAACAATGTGAGATAGTTGCTTTGAAAGTAAATGTAAGCTTAGGCTGCGTTAACAGAATTAGAGCTTGGGAAAGATACATCTTTATAACTACAAGTCCCAGAATGCCTCAGATGTCATAGACAGTCACCCTACTGCCTTAGTGGATGCTGGGAACTGCATGGCAAAGGAGCAACTTTCTTGACCTCTGATCAACATAGGCACAGTGACCAAATCATGGAAAAATAATACTTTGACTCTGTACTCTGCAGGACAGGACACATACCAAGTACTAAAGGTAAAGGTAAAGGTTCCCCTTAACAATTTTTGTCCAGTCGTGTTCGACTCTAGGGCGCGGTGCTCATCCCCGTTTCCAAGCCATAGAGCCAGCGTTTTGTCCGAAGACAATCTTCCGTGGTCACATGGCCAGTGCGACTTAGACACGGAATGCTGTTACCTTCCCACCGAGGTGGTCCCTATTTATCTACTCGCATTTACGTGCTTTCGAACCGCTAGGTTGGCGGGAGCTGGGACATGCTACGGGTGCTCACTCTGTCGCGTGGATTCAATCTTACGACTGCTTGGTCTTCTGACCCTACAGCACAGGCTTCTGCGGTTTAGCCCGCAGCGCCACCATGTCCCTCACATACCAAGTACTACTACTATATTTATAAAGGACATTGACAAATGAGAGTGTGTCAGAGAAGATCACCAGGATGGTGAAGATATTAAAAATATTTTGTGGGAAACAATTGGAAGAGCTGGATATGTTTAGTTTGGAGTACAGAAAATCCAAGAGAAATGTAGTGTAATAGCTTTCTTCAAACAGTTGAAAATATGTCACATGAAAGACTTATTCTCTGAGAAGATCTAGAAGTAATGGGTGGAAATTCAAGGGGAATGAATTTCAGCTAAATATTAAAAGAAATTAAGATTAAGTGGAAGTCACTGTCTTGGAAGGTTGTGAATTCTTCTTTGAGAGTATTTCAGCACAGCCTGGAGAGCCATCTCCCAAGGATGCCATACTTGCATAAGTTCTGTATTGGACAGGACTAAATAATCACCAAAGGTCCCTTCCAACTCTGAAGACTGTGATTGTATCTTTGGCAGTAGCTATTTTGAAATCTCTGAATATTTGTCAGCTTAATGGCCAATTTTCTAGAGGAGGCTGGAGAGGGAAGAGCAGGGAAAAAATTAAGAAAAAGAGAGAATGAGAGAGACAGAGAGAGGGAGGGAGGGAGATGACAGATTGGCAGCATCTCTTTCATCCCTGGGTGCTTGACTTGCTCTCTTCCTGCCCTTATTAGTCATATTGGTAGTACACGTTCTCATAGAGTTCTGGGGTGATTTGGTACCATATACCACTTTTCCAAATAACTTTCCCAAGCAACTCTCTTCTGTTTGCGTTCAAGGTTGAACCAGGAACTCATGGGACTCAAGTCAGGCTGGCTCTTTCAGCACCTTGGAAAGCTCCAACTCCAAACTAAAGAGAAGGCTTGTACTGTATAATGGAATCATGAAGCTCCCTCTTAAACTCTACTTCTTCCTACAACATGGAAAGACTTAAAGGGAGATACCTTTCACCTTGAGTCTAGTGCACTGGTTCTTAACCTTTGTTACCCAGGTGTTTTTGGACTGCAACTCCCAGAAGCCTTCACCACCAGTTATGCTGGCTGGGGTTTCTGGGAGTTGCAGTTCAAAAACACCTGAGTAACCCAAGGTTAAGAACCACTGGTCTAGTGCACCTCCATGTCTCAAAGAACCCATGTCAGGTGAGCCACCTAGCATTAGTATACCTGTTCCATGGATTGTGAAACTCCTGGACAATGATATTTATTTATTT